GCAGCCAAAATCTTCATCTTGGGAGATGCCTTAGGAGATTTCCTTCTCCAAGATCCAGCTGGTACCTTCCTGCCCACACCTCACCTTCATGCAGGTCTTTTTTTTTAATAGCAAACCCACATGGGGAGGGTCCATTGGCAGCTGCAGAGCTGGCTCATGTGGCTGAGAGCCGATGGAATTTGGGGGAAAAGAAAGTTTTATACCCCCACCCTCCCCACCTCCCACCTGAATCCCAGCCTGTTCCAGCCCAGGCACAGAGGCAGCTTAACCCACATCCCTCCTCCACAGGCTGAAGGAGCTCAGCCCCTGATGGAATTGGGGTTTGCAGCTGCAAACAGCTGGCCAGAGCTTCAGGCTCATGTAAATAACACCTGGCTGGGCTGACCAGTCCCTGGGGAGCTTTGGGCTTTGCTGGTTTGGGGCTGGGGGTGGCAGCAGTGAAGCTCTGCAGTGCTGGGGTGGGAAAGCAGAGCCAGGGGTGTGTTTGATGTGAGTGCTGTGTCTGGTTCTGAGGAAGGGAACATTCCTCACCTGGAAATGGGGTGGCCAAACTTGACCAAGCTACTTCTCTTCTGTGCCAAAGTGACTGGGTGGTGTCTGTCCTACCTTCAGGAGGGCTTTGGACACAGTCCTGCAGCATCCTGGCCTCCAGGTGAGCACTGCAGGCTGCATGGTGGCTCCAAGCATGGGGAGAGGGGCTCAGAGATCTGCAGGAAAGGAGGGCCATGGGTGGGTAGAAAATGGGTTGGAGACTGGCCCAGACTCCAACAGATAAGGATGGAAAAGTGGGAGGGCATCCTGTAGAGGGGAAGCAGCTTAGAGGAACCAAGGGTGTCCCCATGGCATGGCCTGGGCTGGGGGAAAGAGGTGCCAGGGCAGGCTGGCTCTGCAACAAGGGAATGCAGCTGCAGGAGTCACCCATGTGGAGTCACTGCTGTGACAGTGCTGAATCCCCAGGGACAGGAGGGCTCACAGCAGCTCTGGTGTGTCCTCAGGGCAGCAAGGCCACCCAGGGCCACCTGGCTGCAGATACCCCACAGTGTGCAGCCTCTCTGAAGGTCTGCACAGCCCCAGGCACTGCCAGCATGTCCAGCATGGAGATCCCCTGGGCTCTGCCCACACTCAGGATGGAGATTCCAGGAGACACTGACTACCTTCAGGGTGGAGGAATGGAGATTTCAGAGGGCACTGCCCACATTCAGGATGGAGATTCCAGTGAGCCCTGGGCACATTCAGGATGGAGATTCCAGTGAGCCCTGGGCACATTCAGGATGGAGATTCCCTGGACACTGGGCACATTCAGGATGGAGATTCCAGTGAGCACTGCCCACATTCAGGATGGAGATTCCAGTGAGCACTGGGGCCACCCTGGAGCAGCCTCCAGCTGGGCTTGGTGCTGATATTCAGGATTTCTGTGAAATGAGTCCTTGAGGTTTAAGCTGGGTACCCAGAGTGACCCAAGAGCTGCGAAAAGCCTCCATTTCTCCTCATCTGCACCAGGTTCCTTTGGGATCCTCTTCCAGGTGCCACTGCAAAAATAAATTAAAATACAGAGCATTAAACAAGGGCTGATACAGGGGTGTAAGTTGGAGCACCACTTGCCAAAGGTTGAGAATTGAACTCAGTTAGATTCCTTTGAAAGTCCTGTCCTTTGGCTATTTTTTCCCAGAGTTTTTAGGAAAACTCTGCCTGCCAGGAATTGGTTTTAAAGTAATAAAACAAAAGTATCTGGCTCTTTTAACCTGTAAGTGTGAAAGGGAAAATACAACGAGCAACACTCAGACCACGTCTAACTTTCCTTTTTTTTTTAAGATTGGATTTAGCAGGCAGATTATTTCCAGCCTCAGTGTCAGGTTAATGGAGTGGCAGGGCTTGGAGCTAGAGGAGATTTATTGTGGAGCCACATCCTCACAGAGAAGCTCAGATGTGCAGTGTGTTCAGGGCTGTGTGAGGCCTGGCTTCAGATGGTGCCAGGGATGGAGTGTCCAGGGAAGGTGGAGCTGTGCCCTGGCAGCTGGGCACAGAGCCCTTTGCTGGCCATTGCCCAGGCTGCCAACCCGCTCTGTGGCCATGGGGCAGTCTCCTGCCATGGCCCTGCCCTGGAATTTCAGGTGCTGGGATTTGGAGCAGGTGAGCCCTGGCACTGCTGCCTGTCTGTGTGGGCACCCTGGGCAGGCTGGGACCCCAAGGGGCTGGGAGCTCAGAAGGGAAAACATTGTGTTGGGGAAGATGGAACAGGAAAGCCTTATCAATATGATTGCCTGGCAAAAGATTTTGAGAATATAGAAACTATAAATGAGATTGAAATGAAAGCAAGCTTTGAGATCCCTCAGTTACTGAACAACTGGAAAACAATGGTGTGGCCAGCTGAAGGTGATCCCCTTTTGATGGAACAACACCCTCTGCTTGCAGACAGGCCCAAGGCTCAGAGCAGACCCCACTGGCTGGGCAGAAGGGGTCCAAAAAGGAGTTTTTAGGGTTTAAAATGTAACACAGTATGGTAATGTAATGATTCTTACAGGCTGTATGTAAATGCTATAGGATTTGTATCTTGTACTAGATTGGTTAGTGAGAATTAGAATATTCAACACAGAAGAAGATTTATTGTATTGTAATGGGAACTTTGCTCTCTTACCCTTTTTACTCTCTTACCTTTTTTACTCCCTTACCCTTTTGCTCTCTTTCCCTCTCATCCTCTCTCCCCCTCTCTTCTTTGGGGCCTGCTCTGGGCTGTGTTTGGCAGCTCCCAGCAGGGCCCTGCCCCCAGGCCCTTTGCAATAACCCCCAACTTCCAGCCCTGGCTGCAGAGATCTCTCGTGTCCGTCTGTCCTGACCATCACCCCCTGTCACTCTTACACATTGGTTGGATTATGCCCTTTTCTGACCTAGAGATGGAGCAACTGAGAGGCATTTTTAAAACTTTGATTTTCTTCTTAGTCTCATGAGAAGAGTGAGATATTTATAATTTATGTCATTACAATCAGAATTTTTCTATTTCTTAATTACAATACACTGTAAGTGTTCCTTGGCCTATCAGCTTTAGCTACTTCTGTCAAGTTTGAAGAATTTTCTACAAATCCATTTCCCACAAAAATCCATCCCCTGAGGAGCCAAAATAGAGCTCCCCTGGTGAAGGGTGAGGTGGGTGTGATGCTGTTCTCCCCTCTAACAGAGGAGAGAGAAGCAACCAAAGATTTTGTGTCCTGTGGGGAATCTCTGTGCAGGAGAGCACAAGGAAGGAGCAGGACTGGGGTTTTGGGAAGTCTTGGATGCAACCCCCAAATATTGTGGCTTTTTGGCAGGCTCAGCCTGCCAGGGTAGGAGTGTAGGAAAGGGAACTCCATGTTTGGGGGCTCAGCAAAGCTGGAACATCCCACACTGCCCTGTCAGTGCCTGGGGCAGGCTGGGCTGGGAATTGCAGACAGGGGGGACAGGGTCCACAGGGGCTGCACCAGGGCAGGCAGGCAGGCACTCATCATTAGTAATACCAGGCAGGAATTAAAGCACAGATGCTCAAATGCACATTTGCTCTTCAGGCCCAGGCTCAGAAGTGGCCCCACAAATGTGGTGCAGAGGCAGCACATGCAAACAATCCCCCCTAGTTATGAACAGCTGCATTTTGAACCCGAGGCAGTAGGAATGTTGGATTGCTAAAGGCCAGCAAAGCAGAGGCAATGCTGCAATCAGGAGGTGGAAGCAGGGTGTTCCTTGAAGCCTTCCTGCTCTCCTGCCTTTCACTCTGGCTGGCCCTGCTTTATTCTGAAAGGGTACAATGGCACCAGCTGTCCCCACCTTGGACCAGGCTGCTCAGACTTGGGGCCCAGAGAGCCAAAACCCCAAAGCCAGGCAGTGCCAGGGCAGGGGCTGGGGCCACCAGGCAGGGGACACCAGGCCCTGTGGTAGCAGCACAACCCCTGTGCCAGGCTTGGGGACCTCCAGGAGTTGTGGACACCCTGGTGGTGCTGCCCTTGGGATGGGGACACCTGTGCTTGCTGCTGGAAGGGGCTGGGGAAGAGCAGCACCTCCATGTGCATCACAGCACACCTTGCACAGCCCCTGGGTCAGTCCCAGAGCCTGTGTGTGCAGCACATCAGGATCCCAAACATCCCTGTGGCTCTGGAAGGTGGGAACCAAGCTGGTCTCTGCACAGCTGGGGGTTCTGCTGGAGCTGGAGCAGACAGGTCACAGTGCCTTGGGTTTCACACGATTTCAGCCCTGTCCCTCCTGTTCAGAGGGCAATCCTGTCCCAGTGCTGCCCGGGGAGGAGCCTGTCCTGCCTGGCAGCCACGGGAAGGGGTTGGAGTGGCTCCCAGCGCTGTGATGGTGATTTCCAGGCTAACAGTGACACCTCCTGTTTGCACAAAGCCCGGCATGCAGGCAGTGCAGTGCAGGTGCCAGCAGGAGCACGTGGGCTGATCACTGCTTACATCTCTTCACTTATATCCAGAAATCCCAAGTCCCCTTCCAGGTGTGAGTGTGGCCTCACAGGGACAAACCCATCCCTGTGCTGGTGAGGGCTGGGCTGGGAAGTGGCAGGGGAATGCCTGGAAAAGTGGGCATGAACAAAGGTGCTGGATGCAGACTGCTTCACAAAGAGTTCTTTGAATTGTGGTTTAGCATAGACAGGTAAAAGCTTTAGTATGACAGCATTAAATATTTCACTTAGATGTGAAATGGATTTAAATCTTGGTTTCTCCCCTAAAAGCAACCTTAGAATCACAGAATACCCTGAGTTGGAAGGGACCCCACAGGCATCATTAAGTTCAGCTCCTGGCCCTGCACAGAACCAGGGGTCAGCCCAATCAAATGATTTCCAGAATCAAGAATTTGGATTGAATTGAAAATAGATTGAATTTAGGATTGACTGTGCCAGAGGTCTCCCAAAACCCAGGGGCTCCCAAAGATGGGATCTGAGGAGCCGCTTCTGAGAGCTTTGCCCCCCACCCTTTTCTCTGTGAATTCCTCCTCACACCCTTCCTCCTCTCCACCTCTCCTTGCAGGCATCCAAGATGTCCTTGAAGGTGCAGACCAGCAACATCACCAACAAGAATGACCCCAAGTCCATCAACTCGCGGGTGTTCATCGGCAACCTGAACACGGCGGTGGTGAAGAAGTCGGATGTGGAGACCATCTTCTCCAAGTACGGCCGCGTGGTCGGCTGCTCCGTGCACAAGGGCTACGCCTTCGTGCAGTACTCCAACGAGCGGCACGCGCGCGCCGCCGTGCTGGGCGAGAACGGCCGCGTGCTGGCCGGCCAGAGCCTGGGTGAGTGAGGGACACAGTGAGGGCCCGGCTCAACGTGGCCACCAGCCTGGGGAGGGCTGGGCTGGCTTGGGCTGTGCTTGGCCTTTTTATCTCCAGCAGCCCCTGTGAGGGCTGGGCTGGGCTGTGGCTGTGCTTGGGCTTTATATCCCCAGCAGCCCCTGTGAGGGCTGTGCTGGGTTGGGCTGTGCTTGGCCTTTTTATCTCCAGCAGCCCCTGTGAGGGCTGAGCTGGGCTGGCTTGGGCTGTGCTTGGCCTTTTTATCTCCAGCAGCCCCTGTGAGGGCTGGGCTGGGCTGTGGCCTTTCCCCTGTAGCCCACTGAGAGGGCTGTGCTGGGTTGGGCTGTGCTTGGCCTTTTTATCTCCAGCAGCCCCTGTGAGGGCTGGGCTGGGCTGTGGCTGTGCTTGGCCTTTTTATCTCCAGCAGCCCCTGTGAGGGCTGGGCTGGGCTGTGGCCTTTCCCCTGTAGCCCACTGAGAGGGCTGTGCTGGGTTGGGCTGTGCTTGGCCTTTTTATCTCCAGCAGCCCCTGTGAGGGCTGGGCTGGGCTGTGGCTGTGCTTGGCCTTTATTTCCAGCAGCCCCTGTGAGGGCTGGGCTGGCCTGGCTTGGGCTGTGCTTGGCCTTTTTATCCCCAGCAGCCCCTGTGAGGGCTGGGCTGGGCTGTGGCTGTGCTTGGCCTTTATCTCCAGCAGCCCCTGTGAGGACTGGGCTGGCCTGGGCTGTGCTGTGGCCTTTCCCCTGTAGCCCGCTGGGAGGGCTGGTCTGGGTTGGGCTGTGCTTGGCCTTTATCTCCAGCAGCCCCTGTGAGGACTGGGCTGGGCTGTGGCCTTTCCCCTGTAGCCCACTGAGAGGGCTGGGCTGGGCTGGGCTGTGGCCTTTTTCCCCAGTAGCCTGCTGGGTGAGCTGTGCTGTGGTTTTTGTCCCCAGTAGCCCACTGGGTGGGCTGTCCTATGGCCTTTGTCCCCACCAGCCTGTTGGGAGGGCTGTCCTGTGGCTGTACTGTGGCCTCTCCCCCCAGTAGCCTGCTGGGTGGGCTCTGCTGTGTCTGTCCTGTGGCCATTTTCCCTGGTAGCCTGCTGGGAGGGCTGTGCTGTGCTGTGCTGTGGCCTTTTCCCCATTAGCCCCCTGGGAGGGCTGTGCTGTGCTGTGGCCTTTATCTCCAGCAGCCCATTGGGTGGGCTGTGCTGTGGCCTTTTCCCCAATAATCTGCTGGATGGGCTGTGCTGTGGCCTTTCCCCCTAGCAGCCCCTGGGTGGGCTGTGCTGTGCTGTGCTGTGGCCTTTTCCCCATTAGCCCCCTGGGAGGGCTGTGCTGTGCTGTGGCCTTTGTCCCCAGTACCCTGCTGGGTGGGCTGATCTGTGCTCTCTCCCCCTAGCAGCCTGCTGGCTGAGCTGTGCTGTGGCCTTTTTCCCCAGTACCCTGCTGGGTGGGCTCTGCTGTGTCTGTCCTGTGGCCATTTTCCCTGGTAGCCTGCTGGGAGGGCTATGGTGTGCTGTGCTGTGGCCTTTTCCCCATTAGCCCCCTGGGAGGGCTGTGCTGTGCTGTGCTGTGGCCTTTTTCCCCAGTACCCTGCTGGGTGGGCTCTGCTGTGTCTGTCCTGTGGCCTTTCCCCCTAGCAGCCCTCTGGGAGGGCTGTGCTGTGGCCTTTGTCCCCAGTACTTGCTGAGTGGGCTGTCCTGTAGCCTTTTCTGCCAGTACACACTGGGTGAGCTGTGCTATGGCCTTTTTCCCCATTTTTGGAAATGAAACTTGAGATAATTTTAGGAAGGAGGTGGTATTTTGAGGGTTGGTCTCTTTCTCCAAGCAGCAGCTGACAGGATGAGAGGATTGAATTTTGTTAGTAAGTTTGTGGATAACACTTAAACTGGAATTGTGTGTCCATCTGTTGGAGGGTAGGAGGGCTCTGCAGAGAGACTTGGAACACTTGGATGGATGAGCACAGTCTAACAGGATGAAGTTTAATAAGTCCAAGTGCCCAGTCCTGCATTTTGGCCACAATAACCCCTGCAGTGCTCTGGGCTGGGGACAGAGTGGCTGGACAGTGCCCAGGCACAAAGGGACCTGGGGGTGCTGGTCAGCAGTGACTGACCACGAGCCAGCAGAGTGCCCTGGGGGCCAAGAAGGCCAAGGGCTCCTGGCCTGGATCAGGAATGGAGTGGCCAGCAGGAGCAGGGAGGTCACTGTGCCCCTGCCCTGGGCACTGCTGGGGTCACACCCTGAGTGCTGTGCCCAGCTCTGGGCCCTGAGGCTGGGAAGGGTTGAGCACATCCAGAGGGGAAATGAGGCTGGAGAGGGGCTGGGAACACAAACCCTGTGAGTGAGGAAGCCCTGAGGGAGCTGGGGGTGCTCAGCCTGGAGAAAAGGAGACTCAGGGCTGCCCTCATCACTCTCACAGCTCCTGAAAGGTGCCTGTGCTCAGCTGGGGCTGGGCTCTTTCTCCAGCAGCACTGACACAACCAGAGCACACAGCCTCGAGCTGCACCAGGGGAAATACAGGCTGGAGATTGGGAAAAAGTTTTTCACGGAAAGAGTGAGAAAGTTCTGGAATGGCTGCCCAGGGAGGTGGTGGAGTCCCCATCCCTGGGTGTGTTTAACAAAGCCTGGATGTGGCACTGGGTGCCAGGGTTCAGTTGAGGGCTTGGGGCTGGGTTGGACTCGATGATCTTGAAGGTCTCTCCCAACCTGGTCATTCTGGGAATTCTGTGACTATAAAGGGGATTTTTATTTGAAGGATTTCAGGGGCAGTTATGGAAAAATGTCCATAAAAGGCCACCCTCACAGGGGTGAGTACATTTTTATAGGTTTTAGGAAATTAGCATAATTGATAAAAAGCACCAATTAGCAGCACAAGTGGTGAGGCAATTCCCCCCCAGGTCAAGCCCCTTCTCTGGAGTCCCCCCTTGGCGCTGGCTGTGCTCTGTCCATGGAATGGATCTCCAAGAGTTGCTCATGGCCTTGGTTCCCAGGAAGAACCAAGGCATCACTGGGGTCCTGAACCCCTCAGGGCTTGGAGCTCTGGAACTTGGTTTGTCCTTCTGCCTAAGGAAAGGCCTTGGAAAATGACTGGGAAAATCAGTCACTAAAACAGTAGGTGACAGAGTTACAAATACATGGGCAAGGAATACAGAGAAGATATCAAAGAACTAAAGGAAAACCCAAGCAGCATCAGTCCCATGGGGGATGGTGCAGGGATGGCTCAGTCCCAGTCAGACTGGGATGCTGGATCTGCAGAGAGGGTCAGAGCTGGCCCAGTGATGACCCAGCAGGCCCAGAGTGACAGGGCAGGGTCAGTAGGAGCCAGGCACAGAGCTGGAGAACAGCATTCCAACAGCAGCCCCCAGCAGGGGCTGAAGGCTCCAGCTCCCCTGTGGGATGGGATCCAGGCACATGAGACATTGTGGCCCAAAATTTCAGCTCTGGGCTGTGATTGTATGAGCCAAACAGCAAAAGCAGAGTTCTGGATCATCCCAGGGTCTTGTCCTGGACCTGCTGGGGAAGAAAAAGGGGGGGAAAGACATTTCCTGGTATCAAAGACATGGATAGGACAAGAGGAATGGCTTCCCACTGCCAGAGGGAGGGATGGATGGGATATTGGGAAGGAATTCTTGCCTGTGAGGAAGCTGAGGGCCTGGCACAGGTGCCCAGAGCAGCTGGGGCTGCCCCTGGATCCCTGGCAGTGCCCAAGGCCAGGCTGGACAGGGCTGGGAGCACCTGGGACAGTGGAAGGTGTCCCTGCCATGGCAGGGGTGGCACTGGATGGGCTTTAAGGACCCTGCCACCCCAACCTATTGTGTGTTTCAGTGATTGCCCTCAGGAGCAGCCTTACCCTCAGCCTGTCAGGAGAGCTGATCTCCAGGCCAGCTCAGCCTGCCTTCAGCCAGCAGCTGTGAAACAAGGGAACTTCCCCCAGTCTGCACTGCTGGGGCATGAGAACTAACAAGCAAATCCCCCCAGCTGCATCTTGGCTTTTGCAGATTGCTCTGAGGTGTCACCAGCTCCAAGCTGAGAATTGGAACTGGGGAGAGGATTTTTAATGAAAAATGGTGATTTTTAATGAGAAATGGTGACTTCCAAGCCTGCTGCAGCAATGTGCACCCAGGAAAGTAATTTGCAGCCCATTCCCACCCTGCTGCTGGCACAGCCTGACATGGGAAGTTGTGCTGAGGCCATGCTGCTTCCTCTGAGGTTTATCCAGATACCAGAAACTTCTGCTCACTTCTCTTGAGCTCCAGAGAGTGGAGCTGCAGCCCTGGCAGAGCTCAGCCTGCCAGGAATGCTTCCAGCCCAGATGTTGCCCACATGTGCAGCCTGAGATAGGATGGAGAGGGCCTGGGGGAGCCCAGGAGCTCCTTGTGGTGCTCCAGACAGAGGAGATGTGGCCCAGAGACAGGGAGTACCTGCTCACTTAGCTGAATAGAGAGATGAAAGGTTTGCTGTGGGGAAAACCTCCTCTCAGAAAACCTCTGATCTCTGCTGGTCCCAAAGGCCTGGAATTCCAGGAGGAGGCAAAAGGACTGTGTGATAGCTGGGTGTCTGTTCATGTCCTGGACAAGGTGCAAACTCAGCTGCCTTTGATCTGCCCCTTGTGGGCCAAGCTGAGCACAGGAGAGCTCCTCAGGCTGTTCCTGGCAGGAGTGAGCTCTGGGATGTTCCCTTTAAAAGGAGTGAGCTCTGGGATGTTCCCTTTAGCAGGAGTGAGCTCTGGGATGTTCCCTTTAGCAGGAGTGAGCTCTGGGATGTTCCCTTTGCAGGAGTGAGCTCTGGGATGTTCCCTTTAGCAGGAGTGAGCTCTGGGATGTTCCCTTTAGCAGGAGTGAGCTCTGGGATGTTCCCTTTAGCAGGAGTGAGCTCTGGGATGTTCCCTTTGCAGGAGTGAGCTCTGGGATGTTCCCTTTAGCAGGAGTGAGCTCTGGGATGTTCCCTTTAGCAGGAGTGAGCTCTGGGATGTTCCCTTTGCCAGGAGTGAGCTCTGGGGTGTTCCCTTTAAAAGGAGTGAGCTCTGGGATGTTCCTTTAGCAGGAGTGAGCTCTGGGATGTTCCCTTTAGCAGGAGTGAGCTCTGGGATGTTCCCTTTAGCAGGAGTGAGCTCTGGGATGTTCCTTTAGCAGGAGTGAGCTCTGGGATGTTCCCTTTGCAGGAGTGAGCTCTGGGGTGTTCCCTTTGCCAGGAGTGAGCTCTGGGATGTTCCCTTTAGCAGGAGTGAGCTCTGGGATGTTCCCTTTAAAAGGAGTGAGCTCTGGGATGTTCCCTTTAAAAGGAGTGAGCTCTGGGATGTTCCCTTTAGCAGGAGTGAGCTCTGGGATGTTCCCCTGGCAGGAGTGAGCTCTGGGATGTTCCCTTTGCAGGAGTGAGCTCTGGGATGTTCCCTTTAGCAGGAGTGAGCTCTGGGATGTTCCTTTAGCAGGAGTGAGCTCTGGGATGTTCCTTTAGCAGGAGTGAGCTCTGGATGTTCCCTTTAGCAGGACTGAGCTCTGGGATGTTCCCTTTAGCAGGAGTGAGCTCTGGGATGTTCCCTTTAGCAGGAGTGAGCTCTGGGATGTTCCTTTAGCAGGAGTGAGCTCTGGGATGTTCCCTTTGCAGGAGTGAGCTCTGGGATGTTCCCTTTAGCAGGAGTGAGCTCTGGGATGTTCCTTTAGCAGGAGTGAGCTCTGGGATGTTCCCTTTAGCAGGAGTGAGCTCTGGGATGTTCCCTTTAAAAGGAGTGAGCTCTGGGATGTTCCTTTTGCAGGAGTGAGCTCTGGGATGTTCCTTTAGCAGGAATGAGCTCTGGGATGTTCCTTTAGCAGGAATGAGCTCTGGGATGTTCCCTTTAGCAGGAGTGAGCTCTGGGATGTTCCCTTAGCAGGAGTGAGCTCTGGGATGTTCCCTTTGCAGGATTGAGCTCTGGGATGTTGCCCTGGCAGGAAAACCCAGCAGAGAAGAGCTGTGGTGAGACAATCAAGGCTGGAAGCCTTTCTCTCAGTAGAGGCTGGCTGTGTAGGAATGTGGAGAGGGAGGACAGGCTGGGGCTGCCAGGGGACATTGCAGCCATCCTGCTGAGGGGAATGTCCCTGCAGGTCCTGGCAGCCTCTGGGGTGCCTTCTGCACACACCCCAGCCCCTGCAGGAGGCAGCTGCCCTAGGGAGGCACTGGAAGCTGGATCCCACCATCCCCTGCCACGTGGCCTGGAAAAGCACAAGCTCTCCCTGAGTGTGGGAACAGGTGCCTGGGGATGAGCAGGAGGGATCAGGGCTGCCTTGGGTGGGCAGATGGAGTCAGTGATGCAGAGGAGGGAGCCAGAATGGGAATGAGATGCAAAATCTGTCCAGGCTGATGTTCCTGCTGAGCTCTTGTCTCTCCTTTTTCACTCTCAAGGGAATCCTGTGGGATCTGACTGCCCATCACCACCATAGCTGAGAGTATGAAGTCCCTGCTGTTGTCTGGGGCCAGCAAGGGCTCCACAGGGCTCTTTGTAGCAGTGGGGACCAGCAAATGAAGTGTCTTGGTTTGAAAAGCCAGGAGTCTGCTAAGGAAGGCAGGAACCTTCCCTGAAATGGAGAATGCAAACCCCCTCCCTCTGAATTATTATAATTTTGAAATTAAGGGGCTCTCAGGCAAAGATATGGGAATAGGTATAACAGCTGTTTATTAGGGAAGAAAATTAAAATAAAAAACAAATGCAGTAACACAAACCAACCCTGCCAGAGTGAGAGCAGGCCCTGTCCCCTGTGTGTCAGGGGGTGGCACAGCCCCATCCCATGGGGGCTCAGCCCTCCTGCAGTGCCAGCTGTGGCTCTGCTGGAGCAGGGATCCTGCACAAGGGGGGAGTTTTCCTCTGCAGCTCCAGGGCTGCTGGAGATGGGCCTGGGCTCCCTCTGGCCATGCAGGGCAGCAGAAGCTGCTCCTCTGGCAATGCACTGGGCAAAGGCTGCTGGGCTGTGCCAGGCTCCCATTGGATCCAGGGAGGAATGCTTGGCTCCTGCCCTGGGCAATGCAGCATCTCCCCATGGGATGCTGGAATTGGATCAGCCCTGCAGGGACACTCAGTGGCCATGGACAGCAGAGATCTCCTGCAGGGAGGATTGGCTGGGGCAGAGATCAAGAAAAAACTGCCCCAAGAACAGCAGAGAACTGCCCCAGCTCTGACACATGGGGACAGAACACACAGCCCCAGCCACATCTTGTAACCCAGGACATGGAGCTGATTGCTGTCCTTCTCCTCTCCTGGGCTTCCAGTGCCTCTCCCTTGGAGGGGGTTCCCAGCCTGGTGCTGTCAGGGCTCTCCAGCCCATGGGAGCAGTGACTGGCACCTGTGAGCTGCACCCTGGCAGCAGAAAAGGTTCAGAGCCAGGGAGCTGCAGCTGGGCAGGGCTGGGGCTCAGCAAGGCAGGACTGATCCTTTTGTTCCTTGGCAGTGCCAGCAGCCTCGGTGGCTTAGCAGGCTGTGTGGGAAATGTTCCTGCTGGCAGCAGCTGGCCCTGCACCTGCCCTGTGCCCACGTGCAGCCCTGTGTCCATCAGGCCCCCCTCAGCTGGGCAGGGCAGGGTGGAGGGAGGAGGGCAGACACAGGCTCTGATGGGAATGTGCCCCAGAGCAGTGCTCAGGGCCATGGCTGAGCCAGCCACACCACAGTGGCTGTTCAGGCTCAGAGAGAGGCCAAGCTCCAGCTTCAGCAGGAATAAAGTCTCTTGACAGACCCTAAAAGGCAGCCAAGGAGTTGCACAGCAAGGCCTGGGCAGTGGGAGTGTGTCCATGCTCCTGCAGGGCTGTCCTGTGTGTGCAGCCTGTGCTCAGCTCATCCAGCACTGCTGCAGCCTCCCTGTGCTCCTGCAGAGGATTTTCCAGGTTATACCTGAGTCAGCAGGATGTTCCTTTGGATCACTTTGTAGGCTCTGGATTTTGAGGGGGTGTGGACCCAGCTGTCCGCATTTCCTCATTAAGTCCCTTCATAAACCATGAAAAAACAGAAGTTTTGAATGGCCTGATGTGCTCAGAGTTGGTTGGCTGCCCCCTAAGGTGCAGGTAGCAGAAGGGAAGGCATCATTGAAGGAATTCCTTCCTGTGAGGGTGCTGAGGCCCTGGCACAGGGTGCCCAGAGCTGCTGTGGCTGCCCCTGGATCCCTGGAAATGTCCAAGGCCAGGCTGGATGGGGCTTGGAGCAGCCTGGGACAGTGGAAGGTGTCCCTGCCCATGGTAGGAGTGGAATGGGATGGGCTTTCAGGGAGGATTTCTTCCAACCCAAACCATGCTGGGACCTTTTTCTCCCATCACCTCTCTGTCCATCCCAAAGCTCAGTGGGGCAGTGTTGTCAGGGAGCTGCAGGATGTGCCCATGGGTGCACTCAGCCCCTGGTTCTCTGTGGGGACCCTCAGGGCAGCTCAGGACACACCCCTGAGGTCCAACGTGTTCAGTAGGTGACCCAGCTGTGATGAAGAGCACCCTGAAGCCAGGCAGCCTTTTCCAGAGCACACAGGTGGGGCTCCTCCCTGTGGGATCACTGGCCTCACAGCAGCTGATGAAGAACCCTATGGACTCAGCAGCTGCTCTTTCACTCCCTCACCTTCCACTACTTGGATTTTTTAAACATGAGGGGTTTTTTACATAAATTCTCCTTTCTCTTATTTCTGCCATGTCTGTGGGCCATGGTTTCAGGGTGGGCTTGGCAGTGCTGGTCCACATGAGGAAATCCTGTCTTGCTCAGCTCAGATCTGACATGCCCAGAGGTCTGACAGCTCTTCATGCACACAGGACCTGAAGAACCAGCAGGGTTTAGGGCTGATTGGGAAGGCAGTGGGGCATTTGCCACTGCTCCCCTCTCTGAGTTCTGGCTCCACACCCGATGTTGGATTCCAGGCTCTCAGCAGCTCCATGAAATTGGCTGTGTCACTTCATTCTCACATCAGAAGCACTTTTGGCACCGTGGCCAAGGAGTGACATTCCCTCAGGGGATCAGAGGAGCTCATTCTCCCCTCCCCTGGCAGAAGATGCTGCCCTAGAGCAGCTCAGGCAGGGGCACCATGCAGAATTTAACACAGGCAGACCCACAGCAGTGCCCAGCTGGCAGTGCCCAGCATTCCTGGTTATTCCCACAGGACCCAGGGGTGGATCCACTCAGGAATCAGCATCCTGCAGCAAGTCTGGATTCTCCCTTATCACACAAAATTCTCCCAGGAAAGCTGTCCCGGTTCTGTGTGTGTGGACAGGACCATGAGCAGGGTGCTGACTGCACAGGGAATGGTGAGTGGCTCTGGGAAGGAACAGGAAGAGCTTTGCCAAGTGCAAGGTTTATTCATCTCCCTGTGGAGCCCCAGCAGGCCCCAGCTGTGCCAGAGGCAGGTGGCAGTGGGTGGGGGGAGCTGTTTCTCTGTGGCAGGGCTGTGTGCATCCAGCCCAGCTCCTTGGCCGTGCCTTGTCACAGCTGCGTGTCCCTTCCTTGCAGACATCAACATGGCCGGGGAGCCCAAACCCAACAGACCCAAAGGGCTGAAGAGAGCAGCCTCTGCCTTGTACAGGTAGGTGTTCACCACAGTGGGTGGGGTCTCTGGGCTGGGGTTTGCCTTCCAGCACCCCCAACCCCTGCCCTGAGCTCCCTGCTGCCTGCCCCCAGCAGCCTGGGCACTGCTGCACACCCAGAGCTGCTCCAGGGCTCCTTCCCCTGGCAGTGCCCCTGGGGGGGTGGGAGATCTCCTGGGCATGGCCCCACCTGTGCAGGGCTTGGAGGAGGGGGAGCAAGAGGAGCAACCCCTGCAGCCAGGGAGCAGGAGTGGGCACAGAGGTGCTGGGTGTGGGGGAAAACAGGGAACAGGGACTGTTTGGGGAAAGAAGAGAAGGGAAGAAAGTGGGAAGCCCTTGGGGTGCCAGCTGGAGGTGAACCAAGGAGGTGGCTGGGGGAAGTGCCAGGGGAGCCTGTTCTGAGGAGCACAGCCCAGGGAGGGGCAGGTGGGACATGGAGAGGTCTGTGGCACATGGGGTGTGTTACAGATGCCAGTGAGCCCTCAGCTCGAGAGAATTTATCATCATTTCCTCAAGTGGTAAAGATTTTCAGTAAGGCCCAGATTCTGGAGTCAGGGGAATGCAGGAGAAACTCATTAAGTTCTTGCTTCTGGTTGCAGAAGGGAAAACTTGAAAAGGTATATCAGGAGTGCCCTGCAGGTTCAGGAACCGAAAACCAAATAACAAGGTTCCCAGATGTGTTTTATGTATAAATTGTCATGATTTTGATTCCAGTCTCATGCTGAGGAGACTGAGGGGCTGAGTAAGGAGTTGGAAGGTGTGAGGTTGGGAGGAAAAGACTAAAATCAGTATTAGGGTTATAGGTGGGTGTAGCAAAAGGAGAAATCATGAGAGAACTGGAGATTTTTCCAGAAAAAGAAGAAAAAAGTGTGAAGGGTGAAGAGAACCTTGTGATTCAGACTCAGCCACGTGGTCCTGCACTGGTGTGGTGAGGAATGGCAAATCCTGGCTAGAAAATGCAGCTCTGGCACAGGCAGACCCCCTGAGCCCCAGCAGCCTCCCAGCACCCCCTGTGCAGCTTTCAGGCACATTTCTCCTCCCACCCTGGACAATTTGGGCCCTCACAGGACGTGGCTCTCTGGGCTCCCAGGGGATCCCACCTGAGGGGAGGGAGGTGGGAGCAGAGCTGACACAAATCCTGCACTTCAGCTGCTCATGTGGGGCTGGGGCCATCACACACATCAGCTCCTTCCATACATCTTGCACTAATGAGCTTTTCATTTACTGCTCAGCCCTGCCTGCAGCACTAATCCCTTCCTCTGCAATGACCAATATTTCAGACTTCAGACTGCTGAGAGAGATGTTTGCTCCCTCCCACAAATATGGATATGCTAAAATATGGGCCAGAGAACTGCACTGCTCCTGTTCCCAGCAATATTTCATCCCAGACTGGCTGTCAGATTAAAACTTTACCATCTGGACTGGCAGAACTTAGGATATCTCCTGGAAAACAGGGATCCCAGGTTTGCAGCGAGCTGTGGTTACAGCTTCCCAAACCACCATCAATTTTTCTAAATGTTAGACTTCAAAAAATCACAGCACTGTAATTTATAGAAGTGCTGTGTTAAACACAGCAGAGGATTTTTCCAAAGGCTGGCTTTTGCTTTGCCTCACTCCAAGTCTGCATGGAAGAGTTGAGGGGAAAGCAAGGCAAGGAAAATTCCATTTTGAACAGACAGCAAGCAACAATTGTGACATTTTTACCTATCCACCAGCCTAGGTGGGTGTCCAGGTGTTAAACAGAAATCCTTGGGGATGCAGGCTCCCATCCACCTCCACCCAGGCTCGTGCCACCATCAGTTTTCTCAGGTGTCTCCACACAAGGCACCTTCACTTCCTACAGAGCCTTGCTGCCATCACTGCTCTCCTCCACTCCTGGATCTCTGGGGCTCCCTCCCTCCCTCTGGCACTTCCCAGAGCATCCCTTTGCACAGGGCAGGTCCCTGGATGCTCCTGCCTGGCACCCTGGCCACCCACACAGGCCCTGCTGCCCTGGGCAGTGAGCTGCTGTCACTGTGTCCCCACTGTGTCACTGCCTCTCCAAATCTCCAAATCTGCCTTCTGCCAACACTTTTTCTTTTTTTTTTTTTGCCTGCACAGCCAATGTCTGGACAGGATTTCCTGGGGCATTTGGGGCCACATTCAGGTCGGTGCCAGAGATCCCACCCAGGTGCTGTCAGCTGGCTGGGAAGGGAAAGTGGCTCTGCCAGTGCCACTCTGGGCTTTTGGAGGCACAAATCCCTGCCCTGCCCTGCAGAGCTGGGGCTAAAGCTGCTCCATGGCCACAAGGACAGAGAGGACAGCCCAAGCAAGAGCTGCTGGGTGGCTGCAGCTCAGTGGCCCCAGGAGGGGTGTCTGAAGTGGTGGCAGGGACAGAGCACTGCTGACTGACTGTCACAGCCCATGAGCACTGGCATCCATCCCCTGCTACACCCAAAGCTGGTGTCAGCCCCTCCCCAAACACCCTTCCCAGGCCCTGGTGCTGGAGCAGGGACATCCCAGTGCCAAATGCACTTGGACAGGGCTGGGAGCAGCCCCGGGCAGAGGGAGGGGTGAGCAGTGATGTCCCAGTCTAGAGCAGCCCCAGCACTTGGGAATGCCAGGCTTCATCCCACATTCCTTTATTTCCCCCTGCCCTGGCTGTGTGCAGGAAGAAGGGGTCTCACAGAGCTCCCCAAGATCTGTTTGATCAGTGCCACATTTTCCAAGCAGCTTTCCTTTGTCCACTGCAGTAATGCCATGAAAGAAGGGTGGGAGCTGAGCTCACCATGGCACTCATCATTAGCAATACCAGGCAGGAATTAAAGCACAGATGCTCAAATGCACATTTGCTCTTCAGGCCCAGGCTCAGAAGTGGCCCCACAAATGTGGTGCAGAGGCAGCACATGCAAACAATCACCCCTAGTTATGAACAGCTGCATTTTGAACCTGAGGCAGTAGGAATGTTGGATTGCTAAAGGCCAGCAAAGCAGAGGCAATGCTGCAATCAGGAGGTGGAAGCAAGGTGCTCCTTGAAGCCTTCCTGCTCTCCTGCCTTTCACTCTGGCTGGCCCTGCTTTATTCTGAAAGGGTGCAATGGCACCAGCTGATTGAAAAACAGCAAAAACTATTCCTGTCCACAAAGACAGAGCTGCCAGCTCACTGAGGAGTGATCCCTCGGTCTCAGCATGGTTTATACAACGTGCAGTGGAATTTTCAGGATAAATCACCCCTAAAAGCTCTCCCTTTCACCAGCTTTGTCCTGGACTCATCCTGGCAGACCTGCCCTGTGCTCAAAGCCTGAGGGATGCTGCTAGGGGATTCCAGGGGTGCTGCTAAAACCATCCAGCCCTGCCTCCCTGGCATCATCTGTTAAGCTGTGAGTGACTGGTGTGTTAGAGCAGGGTCACACAGCCACAGGCTGCCCAAATCCCTCATTCCAGCCCCCTGCATCCCTTGAGGCCTGCCCCACAGTCAACAGGAATCCAAGCAGCCCTGCAGAGGCCGGGTTCATGTTTTGGGAGGTCAGGACCAGCTCCCTGGGATAATTATGCCCCCAATTCCTTTTGAAAGGGTGGAAGTGTTTCCAATCCCTTAAAGATCCAGTGCCAGGGCAGGAGAACCCCTCACCCTTGGGCTTTGCACCCAGAGATGCTCTGGGGCCCCTGCCCTGCAGTGCAGGCATGGTGTGACCCCCTCAGTGCCCCTGGGAATGCCCTGCAGATGTGCCAGGAGTGATTCCCACCAGGAGAACACAGGCATGGCCAGCTCTGCTCCACATCCCTCTGGAAACAGGGAATAACACAGGGCAGTAACATCAACAGGGTTCACTGGCATTTCACCAGCAGATTGACTGCCCTGGGAAGAGGCTTCACCTGGGCTCTTGGGCATCTCTGTCCTTCTCCAGCTCTTCTCCAACCTTCTCCAGGTGGGATCTGTAGATATTTGAGGCTGAGCTTCATCCCATTGGTGCTGGAGCCAAGCCCAGGAGCAGGGCAGAGGTGCCCGAACGCCTCAGGGCAGGGTGAGTGCTGGAGATGGAGGTTCCCACCCCACCTGGGAACAAGGGCTGCATCCCTTGTTCCCAGGTGCCAGGCTGTGCCCAGGACAGTGCTGGCAGCAGCAGGGCACTGCTGTGTGCTGTGTGCTGTGTGCTGTGTGCTGTGTGCTGGGGCTGGAGCTGCAGCTCCTCTCCATCCCCATGTGCTGATCCCACAGCTCTGCCAGGGAGCAAAGGCTTCTGTCAGGGAGGAGAAGCTGGCTCAGACCAGGAGTGTAAATTGGGGTCAGGAAAAAGGAATTTGGGTGTCTCAGAATTTTGCCCAACACCCCCAGGCTTTGTGTTCTTTATGAACAAATGCTCCAAAGCTGCCTCATGGTCTCCAAGCCACAGAGAGCTGCCCAGCAGGAGCAGCTCCTCATGGGGGTGATGCCTCAAGGAGCTGGAACAGAGGCTGGATGGAGTTCAGAGCAATACAGTGGAGATTTATTGAGGGGCCTTCAAAGGCCACACCTGGCAGTACCTGGATGGCTCCAAGATGGCAGCAAAAGAGAACTTGGCCATGAGATCTCACAGTTTTATGAGTTTTAGTCCATTTGCATACAGGAGTGAATTGCCCAATTAACAGCTTCCAATGATGAAGTTTCATCCTCCTTGCTTGCTTGCCCACTCTCCTCACCTTGTTGATGCTTTGGGCCTGAAGTTTGCAGAGATTGTCCTTGAGTCTCCAGCTGGGATAGGATTGTTTGTGAAAAGATCCCAGTAACATTAATATAAAGCTAAAAGCTGCACACCAAAATAGAACAGAAAAACTTAAACCCCAAGGTATCAGAGGGAGGGTGTGCTGTGGATGAAGGCTCTGCTTCATCCCACTGGGAGATCCCACTGGTCCCTCTTGCCTGGGACTGGGGACAACACTGGCTGTGCTGGAGAGAGCCAGAAGCACTCCACCAGAGCCTGTCAGGATTGAAAATATTACAAAATTGCAGCAATTTCATTTGAGTTGCATCTAAGGAAGGGGAAAAAATTGAAGAGGGAGAGTGTAACAGCGTAGAAGCATCCTACTTCAATTTTCCTTTCAAATGGCTTCCTATTTTTGATGGTATTTTGTATTTATTGGATTCAAACAGACCTGGAGTCAAACATCCTCAGTGATCAAAGTGAATTGGCAGGCGAGGGGAGCTATTTTCTTGGAGGGTTTTTGTATCTCCAGGTTTCACCTTGGGTTAGAACAAAAATCCAGTTAGCCATCATGAAAAGCTCCATGGAAGTGCCTCATTCTGTGATCTCCATCCCCTCAGCCCCACAAACAGCTGGGTTCATTCCAGCAGCAGCTGCCCTGGGAGGAATTATCTTTCCCTTTCAATCCAGAGAGAATAAATAAACACAGATGAGGGAGAGGTTGGGACAGAGGCTGTGGGATGTTCCTGTCTCCTCTGAGCCCAGCAGGAATGTTGGCCACAACTCAGGTCAGATGGGGAGGGCCTGAAAAGAATCTGGAATTCATCTGTCAGAAAAGGTTCTTTTCCACCATGCAGTGGAATCTGGGAGGGTTGTGGTGATCACACCTCCACAGTCACATCTCCCCATCAGTCTCCTTGCTCAGCAGTGAGACCCTGCAGTGCCCATCCCATGGAATGGCACAGGCAGCAGCTGCTCAGGGATAAGGCATTTATGGAATATCTCCTCACTGAAGTCCCCAGGGCAGGGCATGACTGGGGCAGGAGGTGCCACCTCCTTGTCCTTCACCCTGGCACCAACTCTTTGGCCACAAAGCAGCTCTGGTGTCCCCAGCCATGCTCAGGGTCCCCCTGGGCACAGGTTGGGTCTCCAGATGCTGCCACAGGCACCTGGGGAACCCAAGGAGGGTGGAAAAATCATCTTTCAGAAACCAGCCTGTGAAAAACGCCAATCACTTGGTCTTAAATATTTTTAAGTTTAATAGTAATTAAATTGTTATAAAAATAGCAATCTAATTAGAGTAATAAAGATTTTGGACAATTAGAATTTAGGACAATATGAGACAATAGAAACAAAGAGTTATGGACAGTCTGGGTACCTTTATCTGGGCAAGATAAGCCCAAAAAAGGACCCACATTAACAGAGGATTAACCCTTAAAAGCAACAGCATGTTGCATATTCATACACCTCATAGATGATGCATAAATTCCATTCAAACACAGGATTCTGGCTGGGCAGTGTCAGCTTCTTCCTCTGAATCCTAAAGGTGTCTTCATGGCTGAGCAAGGTGGGAAGAAGTTCATTTCTTCTGATAATGGAGCAATAAATTCTCTTTCTCTGAAAGATTGAGGTGTGCTGTGGCTGCTATCTGGTGCGAGTACCTCATTTCTTTCTTAAAAAAAATCCCACATACATAGTTCCTATTTTAACCACAGAAGTTACCTTTTAACTACAAAACTACATTTACCATACCATTAAAATGTTAATACAGCACTACTAATCAATACAACATAGCACATATAGTAAATATCGGCGTAGAGCCGTGTAAGATGCACTTTTCACACAGGCAGTTACTGAAACTGAGCACTGGCAGGGAGGCTCAGTGCCACAACAGGCAGGACAGACCTCCTGGAATCCCTGGTCCAAGCCACGCTTCCCCCCAGGCACCCCAGCCACACACACGTTGTTGTTGCCACTTGTGTCAGAGATGCAGGAGCCCAGATGAACTCTCGGCTGCACTCCTGGGGGCCACCCTGCCATCCTGTCCCCTGTCCCTCCGCTCAGCCCTTCCCTCTCCCCACCCATCTCAGTCTCTTCAGCCATTTCCAGGAGGCGGGACAGGCTTTGCTTTTTGGGGCTGCATTCTGTTCAGAGCAGAGAGGAGACCACCAGCATCACGTCTGACTTAAACGTTAATTGAGTGTTAATTGAGGGTTAATGAGCTCAGCACGCCAGGGCAGGGTGCTGTGCTCAGCTGGGGCCCCTGCTCGCAGTGTGTGGGGTCAAACCCCCTGGTTTGTGCTGCCTTGTGAAAAACCAGCTGCAGCAAGGGGGAAAGTGTTCCTGGGTGTCCAGGGAATGCTCCTACTTTGAGTTAAAATGTAGTTCAAGCTTAAGAAAATAGGACGTGGGCATTGTCTGCCTGGGAGGGGAGAGGTTTAAATCAATAAATATGATTAAATATTAAATCATTATCATTAAATATGATAAATATCCCCTTTGTCCCGACTTTTCTCCACACACATCTTCTTGCTCCTCCTCGAGATAAGCAGGTTAACACCCTCTGCCAACAGCACCCTCCTCTGCCTTCAGCCCCCCAGTCTTCCTCCCTGCAGCCAGGAGGGTCCCTCAAGCCCCGGGATCCATTTATTTATCCTCGATGGCCCAGCAGGCAGTGAGGGAGCAGCAATAATGAATTACCAGCACTAATTAACCCCTGACTGTCTCTGCAGTGGCTACGACTTCGACTATGACTATTACAGAGACGACTTCTACGACAGGTGAGACCCCAGCCCGAGGGGCTCTGTGGGATGGGCATGGGAGGGATTTGGGGGCAGAAGGGATTTGGGGTGTTGGGAAAATTCATCCACAAACATCAGAGGTTTATGTCCAAAAAGGAGACAGAGGAGTCCTTTTCCTTTATTCCAATAAAGGGAGAGGCCATGGGGTATTCCTCTGGGGTCTCCCTAATTTTTGGAGGATGCAGCCTCCTTTTTATCCCAATTTCCAGCGACATTTCCCTTCTCTCTTTCCCCATTGGCTGAGGTACTTGGGATTCCAGACTGAAACACCTGATACCAAAGATTTCCCTCTAATGTATAACCCTCCCTTTTAATTCTTATAAAATTTAGGGGGTTTTCTTCCCCATTGTTGCTTTCATCTTTCAATATCCAATTTCATTTATCAGCAAACCTACAGTTTATTTGTAAAGGCAAATAACTTTTTCCATTCATCAATCAGTGCAGTCCTTCCCATTGTTTCTTTTATCTCCCAGTGCTGGTTTTATCTACCAGCAGACCCACAGCTTGTTTGGAAAGATAAATCTGCCATTCCTCTCAGGGGGCAGGAAGGGTTTGGGTGCAGGAAGGATTTGGGAGTGGGAGGGATTTGGGGGCAGGAGGGAGTTGAGAGCAGGAGGGGTTTGGGTGCAGGGGCGATTTAGAGGCAGGAGGGATTTAGGTGCAGGGGCGATTTAGGGACAGGAGGGGTTTGGGGGAATGGAGGGGTTTGGGTGCAAGGAGGGGTTTGGGTGCAGGGGCGATTTGGGGTAAGGGGCGATTTGGGGGCAGGAGGGATTTGGGGGCAGGAGGGGTTTGGGTGCAGGGGCGATTTGGGGGCAGGAGAGGTTGGGGTGCAAGGAGGGGTTTGGGGGAAGGAGGGATTTGGGTGTAAGGAGGGAATTAGGGGCAGGAGAGGTTTGGGAGCTGGAGGGATTTAGGGGCAGGAGGGGTTTGGGTGCAAGCTGCAGGGGCGATTTAGGGGCAGGAGGGATTTGGGTGCAGGGCCAATTTAGGGGCAGGAGGGGTTTGGGGGCAGGAGGGGTTTGGGGGGCAGGAGGGATTGGAGAGTGGGAGGGGTTTGGGGGCAGGAAGGATTTTGGGTGCAAGGAGGGAATTTGGGGGGGGCGTTGGGGGCAAGGAGGGGTTTGGATGCAGGAGGGATTTAGGGTCAGGGTGTCCAGCCCAGCCTGTTGGGTGCCATCCCACGGCCCCAATCCCCGGGATGGCTGCGGGGCTCGGGCCGGGGCGCCGCTCGGCAGGGCTGCTCCAGCCGCAGCCGCCTCCCCTCCCCTCGTTTCCCCTCAGGATTTTCGAGTACCGGGGCCGGGTGTCGCCGGTGCCGCGGGTGGTGCCGGTGAAGCGGCCGCGCGTCTCCATCCCGCTGGTGCGGCGCGTCAAGGCCTCGCTGCCCGTCAAGCTGTTCGCCAGGTCGGCCATTGCCAACAGCTCGGCCAAGATCAAGTGTGAGTGTGGGCCCGGGCTGGGGACAGCGTGGCGAGCTCTAAAACACCTCAGAACGGCTGGGAACAGTAACCCCGCTGCGGGGGTGCACCTGGGGAAGGCGATGAGACGGGGATTCGGTGTGCTGGTCAAAGAATCCGAATTTATTGTGGGGTACAACTGCTTATATATTCTACTCCAGCCACTACAAGGCTCGGGCTTCATGGGGAGCTCCCCAAACCGCCTCAGAACAGCTGGGAACAGCAGCCCCAGCTGTGGGGACGCACCTGGGGAAGGCGCGGTGTCAGCAATGAGACGAGGATTTGGTGTGCTGGTCAAAATATCCAAATTTATTGTGGGGTACTGTGGTTATGTACTTACTCTGCTCCAGCCACTGAAAGGCTCAGGCTTCATGGGAAGCTCCCAAAACCACCTCAGAACAGCTGGGAACAGCAGCCCCAGCTGTGGAGCTGCGCCTGGGGAAGGCGATGAGACGGGGATCGATGTGCTCGTTGTGAAAGACGCCAGTCACTTGGTTTTAAAATGTTAAAAGTTTTATAGTAATTAAATGGTTATAAAAATAGCAATCTAATTAGAGTAATAAAGATTTTGGACAATTTGGATTTAGGACAATATAGGAGAGGATAAAATAGAAAAAGGATAGGAAATGAATAGGAAAGCAATGGGAAAGAAATAGAATAGAATAATGAGCTCCCAAAACCACCTCAGAACAGCTGGGAACAGCAGCCCCAGCTGTGGAGCTGTGCCTGGGGAAGGCGATGAGACGGGGATTCGGTGTGCTAGGTGTGAAAAATGCCAGTCACTTGGTTTTAAAATGTTAAAAGTTTAATAGTAATTAAATGGTTATAAAAATAGTAATGTAATTAGAGTAATAAAAATTTTGGAACTATTTGGATTTAGGACAATATGAGACAATAGAAACAAAGAGTTATGGACAGTCCAGGTACCTTTTCTGGGCAAAATAAGCCCGAAAAAAGGACCCATGTTAACAGAGGATTAACCCTTAAAAGCAACAGCCTGTTGCACATTCATACACCTCATAGATGATGCATAAATTCCATTCAAACAAAGGATTCTGTCTGGGCAGTGTCAGCTTCTTCCTCTTAATGTGTCAGCATCTTCAGGGCTGAACAAGGCAGGAAGAAGTTCATTTCTTCTGATAAGAGGGCAATAAATTCTCTTTCTCTGAAAGATTGAGGTGTCCTGTGGCTGCTATCTCAGTGCAAGTCCTTTCTTGAAAAAAAGTATCCTACAGAGCATAGTTTCTATTTTAACCTTATGTTATAGCCTAAAACTATATTTAACATACTACTTAAGAAAATTTATACAGCATAACTTTATAACATAACCCATATAAAATTCATTTTAATATTTGTGAAAAGCCAATCATAAAATATGCATTTTGCACACTGGTCAAAGAATATTGTGGGATACATACAACTGCTTATATGTTCTACTCCAGCCACAAAAAGGCTCAGGCTTGAACTTTATAAACTAAGAACATTCCTGCTGGCAGCCACGTTACTGGATTTAGAAAGGCTGCCAGCCAGAAGTGTAATTGTACCAAAAGGTGTGATTCTTATATATGAGGTGATAGGGAGAAACATTTTTAAAGTTTTAGACTGATTTCTTCCCGTGTGTTTAAAATTAACGTAAAAATCCAATTTCACAGAACCCAGGAGCTCTTCTCCTTGGGGTTCCAGGGCTGTTTCAAGAAGGTTAAAGATCCAATTTGATATGATTTGATTTGCTTTCCAAATTCTTAGTGTAAACGTGAGTGTAAAGTTCTGGAGGAGCTGTAGTGCAGGTACAGCCTGAGCGTGCCAAGGTCAGCCTCTGCAGCCTGCCTGGACACAGCACCCCGGGCTCTTTTGGGAGCAGCTTCCCTGCCATTCCCAGCCTGGGCTTCTCCCTGCTTTTCCTGCCTGTTCAGGGAGCTGCCCTGGGCAGGGTGTGGGGTGGGGCTGCTCTGCAGGGCGCTGAGTGCCTTCCTGTCCTTCCTTCCTCCCCCCAGTGAAGAGCAGCGAGCTGCAGACAATCAAAACGGAGCTGACACAGATCAAATCCAACATCGATGCTCTCCTGGGCCGGCTGGAGCAGATTGCTGAGGAGCAGAAGCTGTCTGCAGGTCAGTGGGGGTGGGGATGCCTCGGGGCTGGCCTTGGGCATCACACATTCCTCCAGGCTCTGACAGGGAAGTGTCAACCCCCGGGTTCCAGGGTAGAATCACAGGCCAAAATTACACACCAAAATTCCTGAAATTGTGGCGTTGGGGGTTAAAGTGATGAGATTTTTTTTTCTTTTGTCCTTTTTTTTAGCTTGTATTTTTTTAGTTTGCATTTTTTGTTCTACTATTTAATTTTACTCTGTCATATGCTATCATTATTCTATTCTTTTTCTTTCCCATTGCTTTCCTATTCATTTCCTATCCTTTTTCTATTTTATCCTCTCCTATCCCTTTCCTATCCCATCCTATCCCATGTCCTACCCATGTCCTACCCATATCCTCTTACTCTACACTACCCCTTTCCTATCCCTTTTCCTATTGCCATCCCATCCATATCCCTGTCCCAATCCATATCCTATTCTTATTCCCATCCCTATCCCCACCCTATTCCTATTCCCCCTATCCAATCCCTATCCCTATCCTATCCTTGTCCCTGTCCCTATACTATCCCTATCCCCCATCCCTATCTTGTCCTATGCTTATCCCTATCCCTGGCTCCCACCATCCTGCTGGGGGATGTAGAACCTTCTCTGCCCTCTCCATGATGTCCCAGGCTGCCTCCTCAAAATTAGCAGAACTCCCCATGGCAGGAAGCATTCCCACCCTTATTATTTCCCCCCATCCCAGTGGATGTGGGCTCTCTGACCCGGGGTCAGGCTGTGGTCCCCATTAACAGCCCTGGCCCAGGGGTCAGCCTGTGGCCCCAGTTGCCAGCCCTGATTTGGGGTCAGGCTGTGTCCCCATTTCCCATCCCTGCCCCAGGGTCAGTCTGTCCCTGTTCCCATCCCTGCCCCAGGGTCAGTCTGTCCCTGTTCCCATCCCTGCCCCAGGGTCACTCTGTCCCTGTTCCCATCCCCATTCCAGGGTCAGTCTGTCCCCATTCCCCATTCCCGCCCCAGGGTCAGTCTGTCCCTGTTCCCATCCCTCCCCCAGGGTCAGTCTGTCCCTGTTCCCATCCCCATTCCAGGGTCAGTCTGTCCCTGTTCCTATCCCCATTCCAGGGTCAGTCTGTCCCTGTTCCCATCCCCGCCCCAGGGTCAGCCTGTCCCTGTCCCCATCCCCATTCCAGGGTCAGTCTGTCCCTGTTCCCATCCCCATTCCAGGGTCAGTCTGTCCCTGTCCCCATCCCTGCCCCAGGGTCAGTCTGTCCCTGTTCCAATCCCTGCCCCAGGGTCAGTCTGTCCCTGTTCCTATCCCCATTCCAGGGTCAGTCTGTCCCTGTTCCCATCCCCGCCCCAGGGTCAGTCTGTCCCTGTTCCCATCCCTGCCCCATGGTCAGTCTGTCCCTGTTCCCATCCCCATTCCAGGGTCAGTCTTTCCCTGTTCCCATCCCTGCCCCAGGGTCAGTCTGTCCCTGTTCCCATCCCTGCCCCATGGTCAGTCTGTCCCTGTCCCCATCCCCATTCCAGGGTCAGTCTGTCCCTGTTCCCATCCCTGCTCCAGGGTCAGTCTGTCCCTGTTCCCATCCCCAACCCAGGGTCAGTCTGTCCCTGTTCCCATCCCCATTCCAGGGTCAGTCTGTCCCTGTTCCCATCCCTGCCCCAGGGTCAGTCTGTCCCTGTTCCCATCCCTGGCCCAGGGTCAGTCTGTCCCTGTTCCCATCCCTGCCCCAGGGTCAGTCTGTCCCTGTTCCCATCCCTGCCCCAGGGTCAGTCTGTCCCCATTCCCCATCCCCATTCCAGGGTCAGTCTGTCCCTGTCCCCATCCCCGTCCCAGGGTCAGCCTGTCCCAGTCCCCATCCCCGCCCCAGGGTCACTCTGTCCCTGTCCCCATCCCTGAGGTGGCTGTGTCCCCACAGAGGCCCGGAAGAAGGTGGAGAGCAGCAAGAGTGAGGTGTCCCAGGAGGACACAGCCTCCGAGGCCGAGGCCACCGCGGAGGAGCCGCTCAATGGGGACGAGGGCGAGGAGGAGGGGCTGGCACGGGAGGAGTGTGAAGATGAACTGGTAAGGGAGCTTGGGCAATGCATCCCTGCAGCAAAGGAGTGGGGCACAGCTTTACTGGAACTTGACACATCCCCAGGAAAAGTAGTTTTTCCATCCTCCAAAGAAATTGCAGTATTTAAATCTGATTGTTGTCACAACTTGTTCTTCCAAGCCTGCAGAAGCACTGCACATGCAAACACGTGTGGAGGTGCTGAAGAAACATGGTTGGCTCTTGAAATGGAGACATTTATCCTTGATTTCACAGCTAGGAGTGGTTTAAACCAATCCACTCTGCTCCCAAGTGATTCTTAGATGGATTTAAACACACCACAAGGACAGGCTGGGTTAGATGAGCTGCGTTTGTAGTGCCCTTGCAGCTGGCCAGATGTTCATGGAGACACAGGAGGGTTTGGATTGGAAGGAACCTTAGAGAACTTCTCATTCCACCCCCTGCCATGGCAGGGACACCTTCCACTGTTCCAGGGAGCTCCCAGCCCTGTCCAGCCTGGCCTTGGGCACTGCCAGGGATCCAGGGGCAGCCACAGCTGCTCTGGGCACCCTGTGCCAGGGCCTGCCCACCCTCAGAGGGAGAAATTCCTTCCCAATATCCCATCTGTCCCTGCCCTGGCAATATGAAGCCCTTCCCCTTGTCCTGTCCCTCCAGGCCCTTGTCCAAAGTCCCTCTCCAGAGGCACTTGTGCCATGGCAGAGGCCAGGGTCTGACCCCAGCCATGTGTGGGGACACAGCAGCCCCACTGCTCCTAGTCCTGCCCCAAACAGGGGCGTTCCTGGTGAGCCCAGAGACAAATGTGTGCATTTGGATGGGAGCCCAGTGTTTGGGTACAGAACTGGCACTGTGGTAACACTGGCAGCACTGCCATTTATCAAACCAAAACCCTGCTGAGAACAGCTCCAGATGCAGGCTGAGGGCAGCAGGGTAGAAGGACATGACCTGCCCTGAGTGGCCCCAGAACAGCTCCAGTCCCTCCCCACCCCAGAACTGGTGGCAGCAGAAGTGAGGATGAAGCTGAGCATCCCCCTCCTCTTCCTCACCCCCATGCCTGGGTGCCCACACATCCACAGCCTTAAACTGCTCCAGCTCCAAACACTCCCAGCTGGGTTGGGCTCTCCTGCCCTGTCCTGCTGGAGCCACCCTGGGTGAGGGCTCTGCACAGGGTCCTTGAGCTGTTGCAGGTCTGGGGCCTCATGGCTGGAGTCCCTGAGCCCTGCTGGAGGGGAGAGGTCACTCCAGGCACTGGGAAGAAGAAAGGCACAAGCTGTGCCAGGAAAAGGAAGGCCAGGCTTGAATTACATCAGGGCAAACAGATGGTAGACATTAGAGGGAAACTTGCTGATGTTAATGATGATAAAGAAGCACACAGCCTGTCAACAAAAAATGTGCACTTCTCTGCCTTTGCAGGGGTAAGAAAACACTGGAGAGACACCTGCTGGCAGTGGTTTGGGAAGAGCTGGTCCTCATTAAGGGGAGAAGAAAAAGATGACTGTTTCAGCTCACATCTCTATTTTCTGGAGCTCCCTGGTCCTGATGTGGCATCGAGACCAGAAATGTTCCCCTGGCAGCCTCAGACAGGCTCCCGAGTGCTCTGGCTGGGCAGGGCAGTGTGTGCAGGGAGCTCAGCAGAGCTCACAGCACTGAGCAGCCCTGAGGTCCCCCCAGGTCCTGGAGTGACTCCTTTATCCCACACCCCAGTGTGGCTGTCACCATGGACATGGCACCCACGTGGGGTCCCTAAACCCCTTTGGCTCTGAGGGGCAGGGGGGTGGCAGGAGAAGGGCCAGAGGTCACTCAGACAGAGCTGAGGGAGTTTATTGAGTTCTGAGCCATAAATTTGGATATGGAAAACTCAGAGTAAGTGCAGCTGGATTGGTGGTCACTACTATTTACTACATTTAGTAGGGGATACAAAGATTGTTGTGTATTAAGTGTCACATGTGTGCAAAAACCGTCACCTGCCAGCCCATCAATGCCTGGTGTCAGCTGAGGGGTGTCTTGGGGGATGGCCCTGCTCAAGGGGAGATCCCTGCACACAGAGGGAGGGATTTCTGGAGGGAAAGCTAAAGGACTCCTGATGTGTTCAGGTATTTACAGCACACTGTGGTTGATTTGCAGTCAGATTTTCTTCTGGTTTCATGCAGTTTTGGTAATTTGATCAACTGCATCTAAACAGTTTTTGGGGTTGGTGCTGGTGCCCACTGAAGTCTCACACCAGAGGGGTCTGGATGTCCTGGCCTCCAGGGACCTCTCAGATGGGATTTTACCAAGCAGATCCTTGAACAACCCCAAATCTGCTCTCTCAGGTTCAGGGGTCAGATCCTGCTCTTGGTGTGGGTCACTTCTCTGGGGTGCTCGTGTTCACAGTCCCATGGCTCTGCAGCCAAGGCTTCTCTCACCTTCACATCCCTGCCCAGGTGCTCTTGGCCATCAGGAACCAGAACAAAGCCTCCCCTGCTCAGCTGGGTCAGAGCTTACTCTGGGTGCTGTCCCAAAGTCTTCTGTTTCTTGCTCCATGCCTGCTCCTCCCCCAGTGCCAGGGGGTGCAGGTTCCCCAGGGGTCTCTGCCCCAGTGGGGTGCAGGGGGTGCCTGCCACGGTGTCACCAGCTGGGTGTCACCCTGATCCTGCCCTGAGCAAGGCACCTCCCCTGCCTCTCAGGCACAGCCTGCTCCCTTTCCTTTCCCTCTGGAGCCCCTTGTGTGCCCTGCAGAGAACTCCTGGATCCATTTCCATCCCTGAGATCCCCACCCTGTGCAGGAGGTTGAACACCACTGTGAGCACTCCATTCCCCAGTGCTGCTGCTCTGCACAGCAGCTCCAGGAGCAGATTCCACTGAGAGCCATAAAGGCTGGAAAACAATTCCAAGACCATCAAGGCATCCAAACACATGCTGTGCTTTCCAAAGCCCTGCTTGGGGAGCAGTTCAGCACCATTACTATTATAAAGGCCATTATTGTGGCCTTTGGAGTGCTGGATGAGTGTTACCATTCTGGATAATGAGTTCTGCTGCAAACTGGGACCAGTTCCTGTGCTCAGCAGCAGAATCAGGACACTGATTTGCCTTCATGGACTGAGGCACCTTGGCAGCACTGGGCAATTCCAGGCAACAGAAACAGGATGAGAGGAAAGGGCCTCAAACTGTGCCAGGAGAGGTTTAGACTGGAGATCAGGGAAATTTCTTCACTGAAAGGGTGGTCAGGCATTGGAACAGCTGGGAAGTGAACATGGATGTGCTGGGTTAATGGTTGGACTTGATGATCTTGGAAATCTGTTCCAATCTGAATGAGTCTGTGATTCTATTACTTCCAAGCCCTGGAGGGAATTGCACACCCCAGGTCTGTTTGGCAGAGCCATTTCAGAATCAGGAGCCAGAGGAAGTTGGTGTTTTTGCCAGGTGTCCATACCAGGTGTTTTCTGTAGCTCATCCATCACAATGAGCACCCTGGCACTGCTCTCCCACAGCAGGGACCAGCTGGTGACCACATGGGAGCTGTCCCAGTGTCCCAGGCAGGGCAGGAGGGACACAGGGTGATTCACTGTTTGTGGTTCCCTTTTCCCTGCAGGAGAACAGCCATTACACAGACGTGGAGGATGCCAGGCTACAGTAACAGGTACAGCCCGTGCTGCTGATGGAGCCAGAGCTCTCCTTCTGTGCCTCTTGGGCCTGGGGGGTTGCTGCTTCAGGAGAGGCTCTTTCCCACTGATCCTCTGTGTTTTCCTAGCATGGAGCTTGGCTGCTCAGCTGGGTCACTGGCCAGCCCTTCACCCCCTTTCCTGAGTGACAAATCTCTGGGCTTCAAGGACAGTGCTGTAGCTCCCCCTTCTCTCCTTGCAGCTGTGAGCAACAGTGAGAGGAAAGCACGAGGCTGAACCCTGTCCTGGCACGTTGAGCAAGGCAAGCTGAATGGAAGTGCTGCTGTCATCTCTACCTGGCATTCAAAGGAGAAACATGGCCCAACATCTTCCATCCATCTGTAAAGCAAAGGCAAAGAAAACTCATCCTCCCAGCAGATCCCCACCACCCCTGCCATGGATTTGGAGCTCTGCAGCCAGCAGAGGAGCTCTGCACAGCCCAGAGCCACCACAGAGAGCAGGTGTGTCCCCAGGGCAGCCAGAGGTGTTCTAGAGCTGCTTGCAGGAGAGCAGAGAGAGCTCAGCCCAGCCCAATAAAGACATTTTTCCTGTGTGAGGTGAGAGCCAGAGCATTTCCTACTGAGGGAAGAGAAGTGTGTCAGTCTGGACAGTTTGTGTTCTTGTGCTGAAGGTGCTGTTGGTCAGAGGCTGTGGGGGAGCTGTCCTCCAGCTCAGCCACCTCCTGCCACCTCTCTGTGCCCCATCAGCTGCTGTGTGTCCACAGTCACCTCCAGGTGCAAAGGAGTCGCTGCTGGAGCAGCTGCTGTGCTCTGGGAAGCTGCTTGAGGAGGGAAGGGGAGAGGAAGCTGCAGGAAATCCAGTGATCCCAAGCAGGAGAGAGCAAGCAGGCACCACCACCCTGAGTGGTTTGGTGTCCTCATTCTCCACCGTGTCAGGGCTGAGCAACCCTCAGCAGAGTGAGGGCCGTGGATGAGACCCTTTCCTTGGACCAGCTGCTCCTGGAAGGGATGTGGAGCACCCATCTCCTACAGCCTGGAGCCAGAGACCCTCCCTGGCTGCCCACACCTCCTCCTGCCCCAGGCAGGGCACGTCAGGAGCGTGGTGTGACCTCCCTGCTCCTGCCTGAGCTCCGTGGTGACAGCGTGCCCGAGGCTGGGCACAGGGAATGCCCTGGGCACTGTGGCTGTGCAGCACCTCCCCAGCCCCCAGCTGCTGTGCCCTGCCCCTGCTGCGGGCAGAGGGCTCCTCCTGGGACCCCCACAGCCGGGAGGCCTCTCCCGTTCTCTCCTCCTTTGTCCTTCCTGGGCTCCTCCCGTTTTTCTCTCCTCCTTTGTCCTTCCTGAGCTCCTCCCGTTTTTCTCTCTTCTTTGTCCTTCCTGGGCTCCTCCCGTTTTCCCGGGGGCTGAACCTCACCCAGCACTTTACTCACACCTGGTGTGTCCTGCCTGCCCCTTCCCCTCCAGGTCCCACACACACAGCAGTGCTTGGAACCCAGAGCAGAGTCCACACCTTCCCCCTGGCCAGTCACAACACCTGGGTGGTGCTGAGTGCTCCAACCTCATCCACAGCATCTCTTGGAAGGGTGAAGGGAAAGCAGCTCCAGGGGTGACACTTCCCTGCCCCTGGGGCCATCCTGGAGCACGCTTGGCTCTTGAAGCACAAAGTTTTCTTTGCATTTCTTAGTTTGGGCTGCTTGAGGAGGGGTTGGAGGGAGCCCCGTGCTTGCCCTGCCCTTGCCCAGTTCCTGTGCAAGGTCTGCACTGAGTTTTCCTGAGCTGTTCTCCAGGCCTGGAGAGATGAGCTGCAGGCTTGGCTGTGAACTGACTGTGCTGCTGCTGTTTGGGAGAGGTGACCTTGTACATACAATCCTGTATAATAAAAGAAAGAAATCTAATTTGCTTCCCCTCTCTTCTCTCTGCCATACACACACACTTGTTTCTTCTGTTTCAGACAAGTCTTTTTTCCTTTTCCAAGCCTCACTCTCCCTGCAGGATTTACTTTCCCTTGCCCAAGGTGTATCCCACTGGGTTGAGCAGAACATCTGTGTTCACAGGAGTTCTGGGGTTTTCCTTGCAGGTTTGGAAACTTCTTTCATGCAGGAGAGCAGGGGCCAAATCCAGGCCTTTAATCTCTGGATTTTTCACTGGTCCAGCTCATAACAGACTGGAAAAGTCTGGCTGCTTTGCCAGGCTGCACAAGCCAGCAGTGCTAAAATCTGCTCCTTGAGCAGGTGTTGCTCTGGGTGACACCAGGGAATGTCAGGAGGGACCAGTGACCCCAAATGGTTGGGTTGGAAAGGACCTTAAAGATCATCTCCTGGGGCCCTTCCACTGGACCAGCTTTCTCCAAGGCCCATCCAACCTGGATGGGTTCTTTGTGGCTGAGGCACCATCCAGCCCTGGAGAGCAAAGCTGGTGAGTTTCTGGTGAGATGATTGAGCAGCCACCTGTCCATCTGTCCTGCCAGCAGCTCCCTCCACAGGGGGACAGCAGCACCATCAGCCTGGGTGTGGCTGGAAGGAGGAACAGCAGCAGGGGGGGAAGCCCCAAAACCAAACCAAGTCAAACTGGCTGTCAGAAAGATGGGAATGAGCCCAAGCTTCAGTGTGCTGAGCCTTGTGCCCAGCTGTGAGAGCTGAGGGCCTCAGGGGCTCCCTGCAGCCCAGCCTTGGAGCACAGACAGCCAAGAGCTGCTTGGATTTTGTTCATGACTTTGGAGGGAGCTGGGGAGCTCTGAGCAGGCCCTGCAGGGGAGTTCACTCTGCCCTTGGCTGCAGGGGGCCCAAGGCAATGAGTTCTGGTTTTGGGGCTCAGAGTTGTCTGTCTGAGCCTGCAGAGAGCCCAGCTGAGGGGGCAGTGGGGGGAGAAGGGGACACCCCCACCCCTCCATCACCCTGTGGGCCATAAAGCACCTGCAGAGCTCCCTGCTGGCTCCTCTGCTCTGTCAGGAGAGGAATGGGGGCCCAGAGGGGTCACCCCTGCTCTGAGCAGGTTTTCCCTCAGACCCATTTAGGCTGGAAAAGCCCTGCAAGGCCACCCAGCCCAGCTTCCCCAGCTCTGCCAAGGCCATCCCAATGTCCCCAAGTGCCACATCACCTCTTTCAGACCCCTCCAGGGATGGGGACTCCAGCACTGCCCTGGGCAGCTGTTCCCATTCCTGACCACCACAAAATGACATTTTCCATAATACCCAGCCTAAACCTCCCCTGGCACAACCTGAGGCCATTTCCTCTTGTCCTATCCCTTGATAGGTGGGAAAAGAGACCAGCCCCCAGCCACATCCCAGAAAGGAGGGAGATTCTCCTTAGCCCTACTCTTGTTGCTGATGTATTTACAACCACATTTTTTATTGTCTTCTATGGCAGTAACCAGATAAGTTCAAGTTGAGCTTTTCCCCTTCTTCTTTTCTCCCTGCATAACCCCCACAACACACCCTTGTAGTTGTTCTAAATTGCCTCCCTGTTCTTCCAAAAGTCAAGAATTCTTCTTTTCTCCTTAGTTCCAAGCAGCCCCATCTCCTCTTTTGGCTCACAGGCACAGCCAGCTCCTGGCCCTTTAGGGCTGTCCTTTCTGATAGAGGTGTGGTCCTCCCCAAGGCCCTTTAAACATCCATGACATAAAAAGATGTGTCAGACCCCCTTAGCTCTTGAAGGAATGTAAAGGCTCCCACCCTATTTGCATTCAACCTCCTTTTCCATGGTCCAGTGTCCCCAAGGCTCCCTGGAAATTGTCCCTGCCCTGCTGGGATGTGGGAAGGCAAGGGTTGGGCCAGTCCATTCTCTCCAGAACAACCCCACAGCAACAATGAATTCCACAGCTGCATGTTCTGAAGAAAAGTGACCAGCATGAACTGAGCAGCTCAACTGAACATACGCAGCTGCCATGGTGGGAGCTTGAAAAAAAAAAGAAATAAAACTTTTGTGAAAGACTTTCCCCACCACCCACAGAGGGAAGATCCCATTCCCAAGTGTCCTGGACCTCACCTGGCTTCTCACTTGTGCTGCTGTTTGCTCCCATCCCATCAGTGGCAGAAGCAGCCTGGTCTTGCTTAGAAACACCCTCAGAGTCTGTCCCTGCTGCCTTGCCTGCATCTCTGCAAGGAATGGGAATGTCTGGGGCTGCTGACACCATTTGGGTTAAATGGCCTGGCATGGGATGGGATGGGATGGGATGGCATGGGATGGCATGGGATGGGATGGCATGGCATGGCATGGCATGGGATGGGATGGGATGGCATGGCATGGCATGGGATGGGATGGGATGGCATGGCATGGCATGGCATGGCATGGCATGGCATGGCATGGCATGGCAGCAGATGTGCAGGAAGCTTTGGTGCTCTGGTTTCCCCTCACTGCCTGCACAAGATTAGAGCAGCAGAGCAGGGTTCCTCCAGTCCCAAATGCTCCTTCCATGGGCATGGACAAACAACCACTGGGGCCAAAATGCCTGCAATCATTCCTTCAGTCTGAGTCAGGAGATACAACAGAACCCCCCCTGACTTTATTAACTCCCATTGACTTTGATGAGCATCACAGTTCAGGCTGTGCAGCACTTGGGGAACATTTCAGTTACTGCAGCTGTAACAGGACTGTCCTTTGGGGACTTTGTGAGAGTCACTTGCTGTGTCTGGTGTCCCTCCTGGATTGTCTTCTTGTTAACTGCAGGAGCTTCAATTCCCTCTTCTTGATACCTCAGGTTTAGCTTCTATATTTTCAGATTCTGTGCTGCTTTAGTGTGTGGGTCTGGGCTTCATATGAGGGCATGGTGAGCTCTGTGCACAGAGCAGGGAGACAAAACAATTCCTGCTCCAGCTGGGCACCAAGGACAAATGATCCAAATCTCAGCCCAGGAGCACAAACCCCGTGGGCTGGAGAGAGAAAAACAAGCAGGGTGGGAGTGCAGGGGCTAAAGCTGGAATGGGACAATGAACTGCAAGATGCAAATGGAGCAGAACTGATCCAAGGGAGAGACCCCGTGCCCGGCCGTGCATTTTGGGACCATTTTGGGTTGTGCTGCCCAAAAACCTCCAAATAAAGCCTCCTAATAAATCTCTGCTTTATTCTTTACCTCTGTCCAGTCTCTGTTCTAGGTCAGCCTTCACAAGGCATCATTCTCAATAAAGTTCTGCATGTGGAGATGTGGCCAAGAGCCCCAGAAGCTCCTGGTGGAGCTTCTCCATCCTCTGGCAGGAAAACACCCCCAGGCCTGGGATGGGGACAGTGGTGCCAAAGGACTCAGCCACACTGGGAGTGCCCTGCACAGAGGGCATGTGGCAGGATGGACTCCCTGCACTGGTCCAGCAGGAAAACCCCGAGCTCAGCACCTTTCCTTGCCCACATTCCTCCCTGGCAGGGGAATTGTTGCCTCTGCCAGGCTGGCCCGGGCCCAAGGGTGCAGAGCCCCAGCACCCCATGGGTTTGCTCAGACTGGGTGAGCCTGAGCCAGGTCTGGCAGCTCAGCTGGGACAGCCCCACCCTGTGCTCCAGCCCAGCCCTCCCTGCTGTCCCCACAGGCCAGAGCAGCCCCTGTGTGGCTTTGGAGTGGCCTCTGTGCCCACAGCACCTCCAGAGGGACAGAGGGGCTCCAGCCCCAGCACACTCCACCTTCCTCAAGCCCAGGGATGTTCTTGGCCAGGGGCAGGATTTAAATAAAGGCCACCTCCCTCATGCAGAACAAAGAGTAGAGGGAAACAATGTGCTTCAGCAGATTGTTTAAATGAATTTTGGGCAAGTGGAGAAGGTCTGGAATTAAAACCAAACTGCCATGGGTGCAATATTTGAAACTCCACCGGCAGCCCCAAGCAGGGGCTTTCCCACCACCAGGGAACCTCAACAGCCACACCTGGAGCCCAAATCACCACATCAGGAGAGCCCCAGACAGCTCCTTCAGAAGAATAAAGAAAACAACCACTCCTCCCTCTCTTGTCTGAGGGTGTCAGGGAGGGTGGGGACAAGGCAGCAAAGAAAAATGTTTTAAGCTTCATTTCAGATGAGCTCACATTTCTCAGAATATTTTATTTTATTATTTTATTTTTTATAATTTTATTATTTTCTTAATTTTTTACTGCCTTGGTGGAAAAATGGCAATCTTGGTGCTGAACAAAAACACCGCACAAGTCCTGCAGCAGGTTCTGAGGGCCAGGAGCAGCATAGAGACATTTCAGTCCACAAAACAAAAAATGTAACTGAACATTCATTTTTTATTGGCCTTCTGTGCCTTATTTTCAAAATGAATCCCATCTAGATTTCCTCCCTGTAATAAAGCACCTGCACTGGTGACAAGCAGGTCACAAACTGCTTCCACAGTGCCAGTGCAGTGCTCTCACACTGAAGAAAGAAATGCACCAAACTTATGGCATAATTACCCAAAGCAGGCCTGGGGGAAGAAACAGTGGATTTTTAAAGTGATTTGCTTTACTATGGAATGTAGAATTAAGGATGCTGCTTCTGTTAGAAAAAGCAGAATTTCTGTGAGCCCAGAGATCACTGTGGGGGTGCAGTGGGCTGAAGAGGGAGGGACAGAGGTACCACACATTTCTGGTGGGTACTGAGCAGAAAAATGCTTCCCAACACAGAGGTAAAGTGGTGACTGCTTTATTCCAGAATTTTGCAATGTGCCAAAAGGAAAAAAGGATGGAACAGCAAGGACTGAGCGTGTCCATACAGACAAGAGCAGAGGGAGGGAGGGAAGGAAGGGAAGGAAGGGAAGGAAGGGAAGGAAGGGAAGGAAGGGAAGGAAGGGAAGGAAGGGAGGAAGGGAGGAAGGGAGGAAGGGAGGAAGGGAGGAAGGAAGGAAGGAAGGAAGGAAGGAAGGAAGGAAGGAAGGAAGGAAGGAAGGAAGGAAGGAAGGAAGGAAGGAAGGAAGGAAGGAAGGAAGGAAGGAAGGAAGGAAGGAA